ACAAAAAAAAAAAAAAAAAAGAAGAAGAAAAGAAGATTAGGAGAGCAGGGAAGCAGGAAGCTGAGTTCAGAAATCCTACTTTGCAGGCATTTCTGCTGCACTTAAAGTCATCTCCTGTGACTTATACCTTTTATTCCACGAAATCAAATAGAATCTTAGACTTACAGAGTTATCAGTAAAATCCCCAAATTCAAACTATTCAATGTAAGAATTCAATGTAAGAATTTTATAGCACCCAGTGATATGATGGTAAATGTTTAACCACTAGATCTCCAGGAAAATAAAGGCTCTTTATTTCTAGTGCTTGCTGATTTCTTTCATGTATGTATCCCAAGATATAGTCAGTTTATCTTCCTGAAATTATGTCACTGCATTATGGAACTTTTGAGACATACTAACAATTGACTCTTATGAACTGTTATGGGCAAACTAACAAACCACTCATTGGTTGATAAGAATTTCAAGATGTTACACTTAGTTTACGAAAGACTTAGTGACCAAGATTACCAATGTACTAAATGATAATTCTAATTATTATGATCCTTTTCCTGATCTTCCTTCTAAAATTCCCTTTGTTCCACTTTGAGTCATTGGCCTTAGTTCTTCCTTTTTTTCTTATCATCTTAAACCTTTATTTCTTCATCACATATATTCTTTGCTCATTAAATCAATACCTAAGTGCTATTTTTCATACTAGGCCATTCTGATAACTATGCTTTGATAATATTTTTCATTATTAGCATTCTTTTACAAATTTGATATTCATAGCTGGCCACATAACACAGCTTAGTAGCATGCTTATCTTCTTTTAGATTTTAATACAGACTGTTTCCTTTCTTTTTTAATTAATCGATTACTTTGTTTATGTATCTGTTGAATAACATTAGCATGTGACCTGCTAAGAAAGTCCTCCTGGTCATTTCATAGGAAAGGCTATTCATTTACATCTTTCTCATCTTACACAATTAATTTATGGAAAGTTAACCCCAAAGGATTCACTCATAACTCATGTAGTCCAACCTTCTCATTTTAAAAATGAGGGTACTAGAGAGCATAGTTTAATTTATTTATGGAAGATTACACAGCCTCTAGGTGACTAAGCAAAGTCTAGCACCAGATTTTATGAATTTAAATTTTGTAGTCATTTTCATGTATTCTATTATTTCTCCCTACTTTTATGTACAAGAAGGTAAGAAAAGCAGACTTTAATACCTTTATTCTACACGTGATGAAACTTAGAGTCAGAAGCCAAGTTATGAATCTGAGATTAGGTGGGTAATAGTGGCAACTGATTAAGTGCAAGGCTGTTTTTTTCTAATTTTGCTTTCCGAGTTTGGCCTTTGAGATAGATTTCAAAGTACTTTCTAACTTTAGCCCTATAATCTAGGGAATAACCACCCCTCTCATTTTCTTGTCATTTAGCAGTGTAATAAACACAGGCCTCTGTCATCCAGAGTCTGAGCAGAAAAAGAAGCTAATTCAGATGGTTCATGGGGCTTTCACAAATGTGTTGGTCTCCTAGGGCTGCTGTAACAAGTTACCACAAACTGAGCAGCAATGGCTCAAAACAAAATGTTTATTCTTGCACAGTAAAGGAGGCTCGAAGTCTGAAATCAAGACGTTGACAGAGCTGGTTCATTCCAGAGGCTCGGAGGGAATGGCCTGCTGTGCCTGTCTCCTGCCTGTGGGGTTTGCTGGCAGTCACTGGCATCCATTGGTTTGCAGAGGCTTTACTCCAATTTCTGTCTTTACTTGGCCTTTTTTGTGTTCTGTTTTTTTCTTATAAGGACATCAGTCATTAGATTTAGGGTCCACCTAAATACAAGATGATTTCAACTCAAGATCCTTAGTTACAGCCACAAAATTCTCATTTATGGATATAGTCAGGTTCTGAGATTCTGGATGGACATGAATTTTTGAAGACACTATTTGAACTGCTACATTTACTCTTTATGGAACTGTGGGTAAAGAAAGAAAACAAAAAGTAATAGGAAATCCTTAACCTAGCCTTGAAAAAGCAAAGAGAAGAAATTATGTCCTAGGATCCTAGTAAGAGCTGTAGCAATGGAGGGATAACTCTAGCTGTGGAGACAGGAATGCTAAGAGGAGAGAGAGGCCACCCCTGGCCCGCCAGTAGGCTCAGAGCAGGTAGAGAGCAGTGAAGAAATACTCTGACCATTTGATCTTAGGTTGATTCATGTTAGACGAATCCAACCAGAAACTACGTGTTTTAGTTTTCTGTTACTGCTGTAACAAATGACTACTTTTAAAATTTATGTAAGATTTTTTGAGCTATAATTTATACACAGTAAATTTACTCTTGTTTGACATGCACATAGCGATGAATAATCAACACAACCACAGTCAGTATATAGAACAGTTCCATCACCTCCAAAAGTATCTCTCATGTGAGATTAGAGTTGATAGAAGAGAGACCTATTGTTTAAGAAGGATGAATCCAGATTAATTCAGGAATCTTCAGTATGATATCGAAATGATATGGTTAGGGAAATTAAGGAAAATGATGAGCAAATTGGTGAGAACTGGCTTGCAAAAGAAGACATCTATTAAGGGCTAGGGGAAATTTATTGGGAATTAACCAAGCAATTGTGTATTTTGAATATTCTACGTATTTAAGGGTTTAGAGTTTTTGAAAATACTAGAGCTATTTTTCAATCAGAATCATGCTGGGACTAGTGAATTTGCTTCTGATCATTACTTCCAAAATCACTTCTTTCTGTGTAGCTGGAGCAGCATACCGTAAAGGAAGGACCATATGGACATGCATACCGTGTGACACCTGAGAAAAGTGCTTAGTCTACCTGGGCAAAACAAAGTTTTAAGCTCACAGTTCTGTGGGTCTAAGTCTTACAGAGGTGTCTGAGCTGAAAGTAAAAGCATCTGCAGAACAGTGTTCTCTTCTGGGGGCTCTAGGGAAGAATCCACTTTCTTGCCTTTGCCAGCTGCCATGTGCCATCCACATTGCCTAGCTTGTGGTGACCTTCTTCCTGTATCTTCAAAGGCAGCAATGAATGACAGATGAGTCCTCACACAGTATCTCTGTGACCTCTTTTTGACATTTCAGGTGGTGTATACACTGGTTCCAGGGAAGAAGATGCAGACATCTTTGGAAGGACCATTACTCTGCTGCCGCACTGGTGGGTAGCCTGTGGGATTTAGTCTTCTGGGGAAGACTCACTCTTGGTTATGTGGGAATGAAGCTTATATGTTAGGAAGTCCTCTATAAGAAAAAAAGCTTGAAATGACGTTAAACACAGAGTTTGGAAAGAGCAGTACCTGGGAGATCCCGAGCTGAAGCTTCCTTAGCTACCGTAAACCAGCCTCTGCTTCTGGCACAGATCTGGGCAGAATAGGTGGAGCGTGACATGGAAGGAGAAGTAAGACAAATGGGCCAAAGCCATGACGACTTGCCTTGTAACTTCCTCCAAATAGTGACAGAAAGGTTGACTTATTGGAGTCAGCTGGCATTTCAACAATATCTGTCCATCAGGGTAGTATTAGCCATTTTCAAATACCCCAAATCAGCTGATATTTGATCATCTCATTAAAAGAGATGGCCTACAACGTAGCGAAATTGACCTACATAGCACGCCTTCAAAGAGCCTGGGCCTTACTGTTTGTTTCCTTTTGTTGCATTTATGTATAGTAATATCATTGGGGTTACTACATTCTTGTCCAATTTTGATTTTTAGCCTTTTAAGGTAGTATGAAATATTGGTAAATTGTCCTCCTGACTTCTTAAATGGTCTCTAATAAGTTATTCATTCATTAATCCTGAGAAGGTGAAACTGAGCCTTTGATGTTATAATTAGAGTTCAAGTTCATTGTACAGGCCGTGGAAATTCCGTCTAGCCACAGTCCATTCACTTCTAAGTCTCTTTCTTGTGACTATGTAGTGTATTGGGTACAAAATTTTCTTCTAGACACCCAAATTCTAGGACTTTACAGTGTAGTCATATGACATTGAGTCAGCAGCTTAATACTAATAGCTGTTCTTCACTACCAGGGACTTTCTAACAAGAACTAAGAACTGGCATTAGTTTTATTATCACCCAAGCAGAATAAAGAGGAACTACTTTACCAGTTGCCTGTTTTAATGGGGGGGTGCGTATGAAAAATAGGTATACTTCCTAAAGAAAGTTTTGTTTTCAGAGTGTTTGCTTAATATGGTCCATCTTTTTAAGTTAGATGAATTCCCTACTGCCAGCCTTCCAAATAGGAATTACATTTAAAACAAAAAGAACAGGAGAAATGGCTGCACTGGCAGAATAAAGAGGTTTAGCGTATGTAACCCGATATGGACATTTTGGCTAATGCCATTTTTTTCTCAAATAGGTCTGTTGAATAACAAATCAAAAATAGCCATAACGAAGTTATATGTGGACCATTAGTAAGCACACAGAGTGAATTCTATTCCTTGTAATCTATTAACTATTAGTGTCTTTATTTGATATTAACATCTTCAGAAAGCAACTTTTGATTTTATAATGAAGACTTCTTAGGGTTTTTTTCCCTTCCTCTACAGATATGTAAACAAAATATGAGAAGAAAATGCTTTGCAATGGAGTAAAAATCAAGGGAAACTCAGGAGGATGACACCTACCATAGAAGTAGTGTTTATTTTAAGCGCTGGCACCTTCTGGAAGTTCACTTCCAGATTTAGTCCATGGACCACATCTTAGTTTAGGGTTCAGCAGCAACACCAGCAAAAAGTGCTACTTCACATTGTCCTGCGACGATCTCACATATGGAAGATCATGTTTGACATTCCTGCTCTGTGACCTTGGACAAGATACTTGAATTCTTTAAGTTTTATTTTGTAAATTTTAAAATGCAGCTCATAGGGTCTTCCCTGAAGTACTGTCAGAATTAGAGGTAAAGTGTATAAAATACTTACTACCACCCTAGGCAATGATGGTCCTTAATTGCTAATATCTGTCATATTGCATAGAAATTACTAATTAATTTTGTACTCCTTTTCTGTGTATTTACTTTTGTGTAAGAGTCATGGCTTAAAAATAATCTCTGGCTGGGCAGTGATATGCATTCATTTGTGAACGGGAGTGGTGATTTTGGATGAAATAGCATATTTTTTTCTCAGCCTTTCTCAGTCAAAGGGGTTTTCCTTTGATGCTATGATCTGCAGATGTTTATTACAACATGTCTCTTCTTTAATAAAGGAAATGGTGAGCTCAGTTACAGCTAAGTTTGACATAGTATATTTTATAAAATTTAGTCTTTGAGCTCTGGACCACTGATACTTTTTAAAGTAATAAGTGAAAAAATAAAAAAAATTATAACAGCAATATTTTATATAAATACAAGCAATATAACTGCATACAAAAAGTAAGAATATGGATATAGAATCTTTACAGTGAGTGATTGCTAGGAAAGTCACTGAATCATTTTTCCAGATTTTCCTGAATGAGTTTAAAATGTTATAAAACTATATTTTGGTTTCTTCATCTATAAAAGTAGGGGGAAAACTCTTAATTCTATTCCTCTCAAGTCTCATATTTATGATCCTGTCAAGGTTCCTGTGGCAGTCTTGTAGATTTTCACCAAATTCTATTCTTTCTTTTTATAATAAATTGTAAGTTTCAGAATTGAGTTGTCCTTTGGGCTAATAAATGGTCTTGGGGGTGCTGATGCCTACGTGGTTTCTCTGGCATTAAATGTGGCCATATTTAAGGGGGCACTATTCTATTAAACTTTACATTTAGCAAATTAATTTCTGTGGTGTTTGGCATTTGTAGATCTTGACACTGTTATTCTTGATCAATTGTAACACAGGAGAATTTTGTTGCAACAATAGAAAGAAACAACTATTGCAGCTTTGCAAAGTGGCATGCCACATAATCCTCTCATATCTTTTTCTCCCTGATAGTTAATTACAAGTCTTCAAATATATTCTCTCTCTACGTATTTTTTTCCTAGATAGTCGGGACCAGTTGTCTTTCCTGGGTTATATCAATAGCTTTCTAACTTAACTTTTCTCTTTCAAAGTTGCACCCTTCCCCTCCAGATCTATCCTCCACAAAGTAGCCTGAAAGCAGCCTTAATTTGAAAAAGTAAGTTGAATTATGTATGCCCTCTGCCCACAAACTTCTCCTCCCTCCCTTCCTTCTCTCTTCCCTTCCTTCCTTTTTTCTTTCTCCTTCCCCTCCCAGGGGCTGGGAGTCTGGCAAGATAAATAATCCACTTGTCCTGCAAGACTCTTTGTGGTGATCTCAGTGTTTCCCACTTGATTTCGTTTATTTATTTCTTGGGAAGGGATTTGTAAAATTCAGGGAAACTGAAGTCAGATTATGATGACTGAAAGACAAATCATTTTTTTCATGGAAGCTTTCACGTAACAGTGGCACTTATCTTATTATACGATTTTACTTGCTATTCAGTTGTTATTAGTTGGCTCTAGCTTTCATTTTTGGTTGATATTGTAAAATAATAAATTTTTTAGAGAAAAAGAAGAAAAGCATTGGGCTGGTCTTCATAATTGTAAAGTGTTAAATCATGTTCTGTTAAATATTACTTGTTCTCCTGTAGCCAAGAATATGAGAAATGAATGTAATTTCAAAAAAGAGGAACTAAATAATGCCTTATATAGTTTGGTCTTCCTTAGAAGTAGAAAAAGCAGAGAAGCAGGACTAAACAGAAAGGCAATGCTCACAGTACATAAGCAGCAAATGGAGAGATTGACTCTCACAGATTATGTTCCTGCCTCATGGCCAAAGGTAACTTTTCCTCTGAATTATTTAATAAGAATTATACAGTACAAATTACTGTTATTCAGGACTTTAAAATATAAAACTATATATTTTAACTTAGTTTTAAAAGTTTAAGTATCATTAGTTTTTAATGTATTTGTACAAATAATTAGAAATAGATACTTTTGATACTCTTGTTTGTTCATTATTGGTAATATTTGATTATTATGTTTTGATAATGGATTTGATAGAAGAAAAAGGAAATGGTGAATTGAGTAATTGATATGTGGGGCTTCTAAATATTGTCTTTTGACTAGGTAGAAAAGTCTAAAATTTTGCCAAAGTTTATTGAGCATTGACATGAAAATCTGTCTCATTTTATGCAATGTGTATGTGTTTCAGAAAAATTAAAGATAGAATTAATTATTATATATAGTGTGAGAAGTATTATTTATTATCTATCAATCATCTAATAAAGCACAAGATAGGACTAGGGATTTAGCTCAATGGCAACGTGACTGAAAGCACAAGGTCCTGACTCTGATCCTTGGTACTGGGGGAAAAAAAAGAATTTATGGCAGTGTGTCATTTCACTGTGATAAAGCACAAGATAAAAGCCTATTTTATACAATATATTTTTGATAAAATATACTTCATAAATTTTAAACTGAAAATTATTTTTTTCTATAAATCCAGATAAATTTGGATTTGATAATTTTAGTGACAGTGTTATTGATATTATGTACCAATATAAACACATGTGTAACTTATCGTTCATTTATTTTATTATGTTGAATCACATTCTAGTTATTTCAATATAAAACTATTAAATGAAACACTTGAATTAGATATGAATGCTGTTAAACATGTTATTCAAATTTCTATTTGTAAGATTGAATTTCATTATTGAAGCCTAAAAATTATACAATAAATAAACACTTTTATAATCTTTAAAGTAAGAAACTGAGGGAATATTTGGTTATAACTTTTTGCTACTTCATATTTTTAATATGAAGACTCATCAGAAATAAAATCAAGTACATTAAGCAAAGTTTATTTGAAATTCATGTAACATTAATGGGATTTTATGAAATACCCATAAAGTAGAATTTATATTTTATAGTAGATCCTAACATTATATTTTTATAGTAGTACACTTTAGCCAAAAAAGTGAAAACAGGGCCGGGGATTTAGCTCAGCGGTTTGCTGGCCTGCCTTGCAAGCGCAAGGACCCGAGTTCAATCCCCGGTACCATAAAACAAAAAAAAAAAGTAAAAATTACTTTTTCTCATTATTGTCTAATTTAAGCAAGGAAAGCCCAACAGAACTTCATAAATATTTTTGTAACTTAGAACTTAGCATGTTTCCCTTTACATATCATTCAAACTTTCCTTAGTACATTTTTCACTTTGTGTTGTGTCAGAATTTTAAAAATAGAAAATAAATTCCTTTTTGAACATAATTAGGATATAAGCTTGTTAAACTTGCTAGGATATATTTAGTTATGTAACTTGTATGCAACCAACAAGATGAAGGAATATATGCATAAATTTTCATACAACAAACTAATTTGACTTACTCAGTTTAGATATTTCTTTTCTTGTTCATAATGCACATTGATTGAAAGCTCCAGAGTGTTAGTTCATATTACTTGTTGAAGATGAATGTAAAAGTAAGGAAATAATCATAAAAACTACTATATAGGAAGTAAAATGGTCCAGAAAATATCTTTTTATAATATATCAAAGTGGGCTGGGGATTTAGCTCAGTGGTTATGCTGCCTGCCTCACAAGTGCAAGGTCCCGAGTTCCATCCACAATCCCCCCCCCAAAAAAGTTGCAATATTATATCAGTGTTTTAATGACAGATATATTGGATTTTAGAAATATTTTTGTATTGATATTGTTGTTACCTTTATCCATTCATAAGCTTTTATTTGTATTTGTAGTAAAGCCTGTGAAGTTCAAATGGTCTCTTTGCTATTGCTGAGACCAATATTATGAGACATACAAGGAAAAAATAGTCATACATGTGAGCCATGTGTAGTGTTAGAAAGATAAATTCAAATGTGGAAAGCAGCGAAGTATTTTTAATGCATATGGAAAACCGTAGGGTAGTGGTATGTTGATAATTTGTGTTGGATTTCTGGAATCTTAACTATTATATGTCTACGTGTAAAGCTGTTGCTGGTTTTTTTAAATCATGGCTATCAGTTCTGTGTGCCTCACTTGTCTGATATCAAATTCTTTTTTCTTGTTTGGGAAGTTTTCTGTGATTGCTTCTGTCTTTTGTATTATCTCCTAATCCTTCATTGACTCCAGTCAACCTTAAGTTATTCTTTTTTGCCTCATCTAGCTGTTGGATTGATTTCTCATGGTCCTATGGTGTTTTAAGAAATCTTTTTTTCATATTCACTAATTGCAATCTTGTCTTCTATATCTGTAATTCTATCCTCACATTCACTTGTTCTTTGGATACTTTCAGTGGAGTTTTCAATCTCTTGGATATCTGCTTGGATGTGTTTCTTGTATTCCATTTCTTTTCTATGCTGGATGTTCATGGCTTCCATCATTTTCTTCATCTCCTCTATTCTTTTTTAAGCTGTATCTGCTCTAGTTGCTAGTTGTGTCTTTCATTATGGTCACCATCTCTGTAGTTATCTGAGAAATTATTTCTGATCTGATTTTTTTTCCAAAACCTCTTTCATCTGTTTTGTTATCACTTCAGGGAGTTTAGGTGGTTGACTTTTGGATTGTACCACCTCATTGCCCCCTGGGTTTGCTTGTGGTAAGCTGGAAGTCTGGGTTTTCCTTTTGTTTAAATGTCTAATTTCTTATTATTTTTTTTTGTTGTTGTTGATGTTTTTGGTTTAAATCCTGGGCTGATGCTTGTAGAATGCTTATGCAAGTATCTTTATTGCTAGTATTTAGAACCCTTGGGGGATGACTGCTTCTCAGAGTGTCTTCCAGGTATAGCAGGCTTTTGGGTTTTGAGTCTGTTGCAGGATCCTACCTCTTCAATTTATTGGAGATGAGAAGTTGCTGCTTAGTTGACCTAACCCCTGGTTCTTTGGCACCGGTCTATAGTATTTTTAATGATGCTCAGGCAATCTCAGTCTTCATATACCAAGAAGAACAAAAGTATATGGAATGCTTCATGAATTTGTGTGTCACCCTTGCTCAGGGGCCATGCTAATGTCTGCATCGTTCCAACTTCGGTATACATGCTGCCAAAGTGACTGCATGTTGAGATAATTTAAACAGTTGAATGACACAGAGTTTGAGACCTGCTCTGAAATCCCTAACTTCTAGAGAATATGCTTTTAAAAAAATCTTTGCAAATAATTTCC